CCGGGCTCAGCTGGTCCTCCTACCTCAGCCTCCTGAGTAGCTAGCTGAGTCTGCAGGTATGTACCACCACACCCAGCTAATTTTGTGATTTGTTTTCTTTCTTTTTTTTTTTTTTTGCAGAGACCAGGTCTTGCTGTTGCCCAGGCTCAAGTGATCCTCCTGCCTCAGCCTCCCAAAGCACTGGGATTACAGGCATGAGCCATGGCACCTGGCCCTGATCATCTTTAGACTCCTAGACTCCACCCCTTTTGAAGTGTGGTTGAGAGGAGGGAGCCAGGAGATTTCGGTGGGCAACAATGTCTAGGGACTACAGTGTGAGGATGACTAGAAAGCCTGTCACCTGCAGTGGACTCTCCTTGGCGCTGCCACTCCTGGGTGTCAGGCAGGGTCCTGAGGCTGCTGCACGCCACTACAGAGCCTCCTGCCACCAAGCCCCCCCACTTACCCGGGTCCCTCTCAGGGCCTTCCCAGCGTGACGTCAGCATGTGTAAAGGCTGCGGGCCACAGCCCTATGTGTGGGCAGAATCGGGTCCCCACTCGGCAGCTCTGCCCTGGGTCCCTCCTCTGCCCAAAACACCACAGCCATCCCAGGGCAAGCAGCCCCTGTCCCCAGCGATCCACAGCCAGCTGGAGTAGGAGGACCTTGTCTCCTGTTCTTGGAGCAAGATTCTGCTAGGCGAGGGTGGGGGAGTGCAGGAGTTCCCTAAGACAAGTCCTCACACCAGCGTTTTCTTGATCTCCCTGGAGGCTAGTGTTCTCTCAATGTCGCAAAAGCCTTTGTTTCTCCTTAGCCTTAACCACCCCACAGCCTCCAAGAACCCTGCTTCCTCGCTGGGATCCTTCCTGTCCTGCTGCCACGGCTGCCACAGTTTTCTCATTAAATCTCACACTGCATGTTCTCACAGGGCTCAGATGTCACGATTATAGCACTGAACGCTGTTGTGCTTTGGGGTTTTGTCCTTCCTTGTTCTTGTGGTGGGGGTGGTTGGTCTTTACTCCCCCTGAAGCCCTTGAGGCAGCCGGCCCTTGGAGGGAGTCAGGTTGCCCCGGACAGGCCCCACTGTCACCGTTGTGACATGTTTGACTGCGTCTGCATTCTCAGGTCAGACCCCAAAGGAGCTGCTTTTGTGAATGTGAGAACTGAGGAAAGTTAAGTTGTTCTGTTTGAGTGGGGGAATGAAATGGAGTGGGGAGGCAAAAAGAGAAAGAAAAAAGTGTTGGTTGCTTTTTTTTTTTAGTGTTTTTTAAAAGATTCCCATTGAGGAAATGTTTTAAGTGTGGAGTACTGTCCAGGCACGGTGGCTCAAGCCTGTAATCTCAGCACTTTTGGAGGCCTAGGCGAGAGGTTTGCCTGAGTCCAGGGGTTCAAGACCAGCCTGGGCAACTTGGTGAGACCTCATCTCTACAATAAATAAAAAAAAAAAAATTGGCCAGGCGTGGTGGTGCATGCCTGTAGTTCCAGCTACTTGGAAGACTGAGGTGGAAAGTTCACCTGAGCCCAGCAGGTTAAGGCTGCGATGGCCTTGTGCGTGCCACTATACTCCAGCCTGGGTGATAGAGTAAGACTCCGACTCAAAAAACAAAAGTGTGGAGTACATAAAACGAACCCTACCTAGTACCTCGTACTGAGAGGGTCATCAGTAAGATCACGGTGTCTCACTCCTGTCATCCCAGGCGAAGGTGGGAGGATTGCCTGAGCCCAGGGATTCAAGATCAGCCTGGGCAGCATTGCCAGACCTCATCTCTACAGAAAATTTTTTAAAATTAGCTGGGAGTGGTAGTAGACACCTGTAGTTCCAGCTGAGGAGGAAGGATCTCCTGAGCCCAGGCAATCTCAGAAAATAAAACAAAACACCCGTCTACTTTCTTTCTTTCTTTCTTTTTTTTTTTTTTTGTGAGTAGGCTGGAGTGCAGTGGTACAATCATAGTTACCACAGCCTTGACCTGCTGGGCTCAGGTGATCTTTGCACCTCAGCCTTCTAAGTAACTAGAACTACACCAGCTAATTTTTTGATTTATTGTAGAGATGAAGTCTCACCAAGTTACCCAGGCTGGTCTCGAACCTGTGGGCTCAGGCAATCCTCTCTCTGCTTCCCTAAGTGCTGGAATGACAGGCGTGAGCCACCATGCCTAGCCCCATTCTTCTTCTAATTAGACTTCTGTTTATGTTTTGTCACATTTCTCTGCATGTGTATTTCTTTGTGGGGATAATTCTTTTTGGGGGGGTTGGGGTCTCACTTGTCACCCAGGCTGGGTGCAGTGACATCGTCATGGCTCACCACAGACCTCAACCTCCTAGACTCAGGCGTTCCTTCCACCTCAGCCTCCCGAGTACAGCCACCATGTTTGGCTAATTTTTTTTTTTTTTTACTTTTTGTGGAGACAGGGTCTCACTATTTTACCCTGGCTGGTCTTGAACTCCTGGGCTCAAGCAATCTTTCCACCTCAGCCTCCCAAGGTGGAAAGATTGTAGGTATGAGCCACCACTCCACAGCTCTTTTAAACTATCGAGCTCACAGTAATAATATTTTATCATCTTTTATTTAAAATTGTAATGTTTTCTACTGTCATTGCAATTATTTTGTATACATGATTTTTTTTTTTTTTTGAGTTGGAGTCTTACTCTGTTGCCCAGACTGGAGTGCCGTGGCCGCTCCCAGCCACTGCAGCCTCAACCTGCTGGGCTCTGGCGATCCTTCCGCCTCAGCCTTCCAAGTAGCTGAAACTACAGGCGTGCACTACCACACCCTGCTAATTTTTTGATTTATTGTAGAGATGAGGTCTCACCAAGTTGCCCGGGCGGGTCTTGAACCCGCAGGCTCAGGCAATCCACTCACCTCAGCCTCCCAAAGCGTGGGATTACAGGCTGAGCCACCGGGCCTGGCTGTAAACATGATTTTTAAATTTGGCTTTATTATACATATGTCAAACATATATCTTGGATACATTCTCATTTTAAAGTAATTTCAAGCAATAGAATGGTACGTAGAACAAAAGTAAAAGTTCTCCCAGTAATACTCCCCACCACACACACACACTCCCACCCCCAATTCTCACTCTCCTCCCCACAGGTAGCCACTGTTCACAGTTTGGTTGAACATAATTTTTAAGTGGATACATAATTTTCCATTAGATGGGAACAAATCATACTCAAATCGTTCTCCTGTTTGGGGATATTTAGGTTGTTCCCTGGTTTAGCCATCTCATTTAAAACATAAGCGGCAGAGGATTTCATTGGTGGGAATTCAAAGTAGACTGTGGACTTAATGGTCTCCTCAGGTGATTCCAAAGCTGTCAAGGATAGGCCCTAACCTGGAATCAGATTGAGACCTAGCACATGCTGAGGGCTCTGTTCATAACCCCATGCTAATGTTTTTCCTATCTGTTCTCACTGAACACATCAAACATCTCATGATAAGGGGCATTATTCCCATTTTACAGAAGGGAAAGCCAGTTCAGAGGCGCCAAGTGCTGTGCCCAGTATCGTACACCCTCCAGTGCAGAACTTGGTTCAAATTGCCAGACCCAGGCAACCCCATTGGGTACTCTCCCATTATGGGAGCTTTTCTGTCCTCTCAATAAATCCTGCTTTCTCAAAAAAAAAAAATTGCCAGACCTGAGTTGCCAGCATCATGGGGACTCTGTAAGATAGCAGGGGACATTAGCTGTCCTGTCTTCACCGAATTAGGTAAGCTTAACCATTACATCCTGCCAATGGTGTATTAGCAAGCACTGAAATGGTACTGGGATTCTTAGGTTGGCGGTTATTTATTTATTTATTTTTGGTCAGAATCTCCCTCTGTCACCCAGGTTGGAGTACAGTGGCGTAAATACAGCTCATTGCAGCCTCGACTTCCTGGGCTCAGGAGATCCTGCATCCTGCCAATTTTATTTTATTTTTTTTGTAGAGATGAGGTCTCACTATGTTGCCCAGGCTGGTCTTGAACTCCTGGGCTCAAGCAATCTTCCTACCTCTGCCTCAAAAGTGCTGGGATTACAAGCATGGGATTTTTTACTTTTATTTTTTTGAGTTGGAGTCTCACTTTGTTGCCCAGACTAGAATGCAGTGGCATGCTCCTGGCCACCACAGCCTCAACCTGCTGGGCTCTGGTGATCCTTCTGTCTTAGCTTTCCAAGTAGCTGGAACTACAGGTGCATACTACCACGCCTGGCTAATTTTTGAATTATTGTAGAGACGAGGTCTTGCCAAATTGTCCGGGTGGGTCTCGAAACCACATACTCAGGCAATCCACTTGCCTTGGCCTCCCAAAGTCCTGGGATTACAGGCTGAGCACTGAGCCCAGCCAGTGGTTATTTTTAAGCTATAGTTTGCACACCTAATGTGTAGTAATTGGACTAATGCTTTATATCCTTTCTATAATCGATATTTTTTATTATGATATTGTGGGGTACAGTTAAGGGCTAGGTATACAAATATGCTCCGTTCAGGTACCCTTGTTGATAAAAGGTGTCTCCCCGTCCCCAGACAGATGTTTACTACCATTAATCCCATCTCCCTTCCCTCCCCCCCCATAGTTTCCCACCACTATCAGTCATTTTCTTATGGTAATATGTTGGGTGATCAAGGTCCACTATATGAGTGAGAACATGTGATACTCAGATCTTTGTTTCTGTGAGAGGTCACTCAGTATTATAGACTCTAGTTCCATCCAGGTTGCTGCGAAATTCATGATTTTGTTCTTTTTTTTTTTTTTTTTGGCTGCATATTCATGTCCTTTCTATCCATCCTAACATATAACACTTTCAGGGAGTGGGCATTCTTGCCATTATTCAGATGAGGAATCTGAGGGCCAGAGTGGTCAAGAAACTTGCCCAGCATAGCTGGTAGAGGAAAGGACTCAGACCTAGATCTGTGTGATAGACCTAGGCTCTGGCCACTCAGGAAAGTGCTTCCCGGCAGCATGAGTGTTGGCTGAGTATTTCCGTCAGGCTGGGCAGCCAGACTGCGCCTCACCTTGTCTTTGCCCCCCTTCTCTTAGATAACAGCGACTTGATTGCCTGCACAGTGATCACCAAGGATGGTGGCATGGTGCAGCGGTTTCTGGCTGTGGATATTTACCAGATGAGCTTGGTGGAACCCGACGTGTCCAGGCTTGGCTGGGGAGTGGTTAAATTCGCAGGCCTTCTGCAGGTAAGGCAGCCGAGAGCTCTGTCACTGTTTCTCCATTGGTTGTACACACACACACAGTTAGCATCTTTACAATGAATTTCTAATGATATAAGAAATGTTTGAACAAACCATCGACTGGAGAAAGCCAAAAATCACACAGATGTACAGATAAAGGCCAAGTCCTCTTTGACCAAAACCCTCAATCCACCCCCCCCCCCCCCCCCCCCCGCTTAGGAGACAACCCCCGTTATCAGCATGATCCTTCCAGATCTATTTCTCCACCAAATACATAGATAAATGTAACTATATGTACTGTTTGTTTAAAGCTATGTACCTGTACTTGAATGTGTGTGTGTATTTTTGGTGTGTCACATTGAACATATTCTAAACTCTGATTTTTTCACTCAGTAGTATGTCTTGGAGCACTGACCAGCTTAGTGTATGCACTCACTGGCATTCTTTTTAACTACTATGTGACTACACCAAGTCTACTTAGCCAGTGCCCTGTTGGCTGTTGCCAGGTTTTTACCTTTCTCTTTTTTTTTTTTTTTTGAGTTGGAGTCTCACTCTGTCACCCAGACTGGAGTGCAGTGGCCGCTCCCAGCCACTGCAGCCTCGACCTGCTGGGCTCCGGGGATCCTTCCTCCTCAGCCTTCCAGGAGCTGGAACTACAGGCGTGCGCTACCACGCCTGGCTAGGGATTTTACCTTTCTAAATGGTGCTGCTGAGAACAGCATTGTTCTGACTTCCTTATACGCTTGGGCAATGTTTACCAAGGCAGATACCAAGAAGTTGGGGTGTGCCAGCTTTAAGTGTTAATGGATACTGCCAAATTCCTCTCTCAAATGACTGTTGCCACCAACCATTTTTGAGAATTCCCTCCTCCTCACCCCCTCTTCAGCAGAGTCAGGCTCTCAATTGCCAAGTACCAAGATGGGACTTGGGTTTTTTTGTTTTTTTAAAAAAATATTTCTTAATGTGTTGGGTGACTAATGCTAGCTTGTTACATGAATGAAGCAAGGAACTGAAGGGTTGACAGCTGCCTTCCAGCCCACACCTCTGCCACACCTCCTGTCCCTGGATGTTCAGCAGACACCCCAGGCCTGAGCTCCACCCCATTTCGAGGCAGTCTCTTTCCTTGCCAAGCATTCCTGGCTTCTGGAAGGGCCTTGGCCAGGCTGCCCCACCTCCACCTCACATGACTTGCTGGCTGTGTCCTACTCCTCACGAGAACCACCCATGTAATACCATTGCAGCCTCTTCCCCAGCTTCCTCTCATTCAGGATCTTTCTGTTGTAAAAGCACCTTTTACAGAGTGTGATGTGGAAGAGTCTTTCACTTAAAGCTTCCATGGACAGCCTTGTTACTAGGTGACTTATGCTCCTTATTTGTCTAGGCTTTATTTAGGCTTATGATTAATTTTCTCTAGAATTTAGTCTCAGGAAAGTGTTTTTTCTCCCTTAAAAGATGAATATATGTCCTCCATCAGACAATGAAAGCCACATCAACTTTGTTTGGCTGGCTTCCAGTGGACGCTGTTTGTCAGCGCCTCACTATACCACGCTGCCTGCTGTCAACGTGGGCCACCCTATCCCATCCTTACTGCCACATTCTGATGGGGGTGTTATTTCCAAAGAGCCCATGCCACGTTCAGTGACTGAGAACAGCAGCTGTCCTCTGTGACCACTTCCAGCACTTCCCACCATCCATAGCACTTGGGACTTTTGTGTCTGTCCCCTGTCCCAGACTTTTATCTCAGCTCACCTCTGGCCTTCTCAGGAATGGATTCTCTACACAGAAGCCACCCTGAAGTTCAGACTGAGTTTGTCCTTGTTACACTCGCCACTTGTTAGTTTCTTTTTCACCTCTGCTTAGCAGCCCTCCCTGTCCCTTTCTCAGGGTTAACTTTTTCCTCTAGGGACCAGAAGCTCCTCAAAGACATACAAATGGTTGCTGGTGATGTCCCTTCTTAAAAGAAATAAGGAAGAAGTGGATTAGTGATGGGTGACTGTGTCTAAGATGGTGTCAGGTGGTGATAGGAATTTTGGTTCGTTGTCTCCTCCCTAAGAGGCAAGAAGCGTTGGCATTTGCCTGTTGAGTGTCCTGTGGCCCTTGAAGAGGCAGAGGTGCCCTTTTAGTGAACACATTAACTGACTCAAATCCTTATGGAAACAGGTGCCAACCAGCACCCAGCATTGGCTCCTTCTGGGCACCCTTTGTCTCCCACCCTCTCTTCTCCCGCTGGGCATGGTCTGGTTTGTGCCCATCCTCAACTCTGTTAGACTTGGGAGCCAAAACAAAGTTGAACTGGGAGGCCCCTTCCCAGATGCCACGTGATCCCACAGCTTCTGGGAGCCACCCTGCTTCTGAGCCTGATACAACCCTCTCCTCTGCTCCTTACGGTGCAGGACATGCAGGTGACTGGCGTGGAGGATGACAGCCGCGCCCTGAACATCACCATCCACAAGCCTGCATCCAGCCCCCATTCCAAGCCATTCCCCATCCTCCAGGCCACCTTCATGTTCTCAGACCACATCCGCTGCATCATCGCCAAGCAGCGCCTAGCCAAGGGCCGCATCCAGGCAAGGCGCATGAAGATGCAGAGGATAGCAGGTGAGTGGGGGCCCTGGTGGGGCTCTGGCCCCTTGAGAGGACTGTCCGCTCCGTCTTCACACTGACCTGGAGAACTCCACAGCTCTAGAGAAGATGACACAGGGGGTTCAAGAGTAGATTGTTTTAGGAGTGCGAAGCATCTGCTCAGAATGTCCTGCTTCCTGTGTGTTGGTTCCTAGAAAATTTCTAGGACTGAGTAGAAGAGAAGGGGAGTCCTCCATAGCAATGGGAGGCCAGGAGCAGGCTGATATTCGCGTTCCTCCCCACTGAGGTCCCCAAGCTTATGTTTATAAAGCGCTTTGACACACCTCTGCTACCTGTGATTCTTAGAATAACTCCTGAGAGCTGTGGGACCCTGCTCTAACCATTTTTACAGAGGAGGAAACAGGCTCAGTAACTTGCCCAGAATCACACAGGCAGACCCCAAATGCAGAGCTTCCCACTCTAACGCTCATGCCTTTCTCCTCTCCCTTCCCTGCTTGGTGAGGGGCTGCAACCTGGGGAGGAAGTCCTTTGACGTTTCTCAGGGATTGTGGTGAATTTCTGAGGCCTGCCCAGTGTCGGCAAGGCCAAGCATTCTCAGAAAGAAAGGCAAGAGATGAGGGTGTTGTGTTCATTGGGGTGGAAGGCAAGGGCTTCTTCTTAGGGAAAGGTGTTCGGTCAACTCCTAAAATTATCAAAAGTCTTTCTCAGGATACCCAACACTGCTCAGCTCAGGCACCGATGGTCATCCTGGTGTGGCTGCCAAGAGGTTTTCTAGCTCACTGGGGTGGAAAGGGCTTTCTAAGGGACAATCTAAAACCAGCCCTCGGAAGGCTGGCCTCTGTGCATGCCGCCGATTTGCAAAGGCACGTCCCATGTGGTCCTCCATCTCATTTCTCATTCAGCTGAAATTTGGCCTACAAAATTATTACAGAAGCATTTTGTAATGTGCAAGTGACTTAAATCATTCAGTCCTTTCTTTTAAGATTTATTTTCAGAGGTTTTTTGTTTTTGTTTTTTTTCCATGTAAAGCAATTTCTCACAGCTGGCTTGAAGGCCCAATATTTCATTTGAAAATTGAAAATTATGCTGTGAAGTAGTTGTTAGAACTCACACCTTGGGTATTTCTTAAATTGATTTTAAAAGCCCCTCTGAACGGCTGTGTCATGAGAGTTGTTTATGAAAGAAGGGGAGGACAGTAGCTGAAACAGATCAATACCCACTCGCAAGCACACATGTACATGGACATCCATATTCCTTGCACCCGCTCCTCCCCATGTATTTCCATACATACACGCATGTATATGAACATTCTGGGTAGAATTGACCCCACATGCTTCAGGATGAAAGGGCACCGGAGGCCAGGCCTTGGTCGGGGTCTTTTACACATAGAAGCCGAGACTGTGAGGGCCTGAACCCCTCACTTGATACCTGGTTGTGCCTTGAGCCAAGCCTTGAGGGGATCTTTGGTGTTCTGCTGGTCTCCCAGGCGCAAGGCTCCCTGCTGCCTGCTTGGCATCTCCCAGGTGACGTGCCTGGCAGGGCCACAGCTGCTACAACCTCTGCCCCAAAGTCCTGCCGCCTGCCCTGCCCATGTACTGATGACCCTCCATGCTGTTTGCCTGTAGCCCTTCTGGACCTCCCAATCCAACCAGCAACTGAAGTCCTGGGGTTTGGACTTGGTTCTTCCACTTCCACTCAGCACCTGCCCTTCCGCTTCTATGACCAGGGCCGCCGGGGCAGCAGTGACCCCACGGTGCAGCGTTCCGTGTTTGCATCGGTGGACAAAGTGCCAGGTAAGCCAGCCCCTCCTGCACCACAGTGTGCCCCTCATGGTTGGGGCTCCAAGGGCTTTCTCCTGCTGAGCCCATGGGAACTACCTCCTCTCTCAGAACCCAGTCAGAATGAAGCACTCGCTTCTTCAAGTCTGTCAAAGCATAGCACAAGATTAAACACAGCCCCAAAAATAAGTCTTGGCTTTCCTTTGGTGTTTTGCCGCCTTGGTTTGGTTTTCCAGAGATTTTTGGGGTATGTGGAAGAACTTCTCAGAATTGACTAAGAAGCTTCTTGGAAATTTCTTGGAAATACTTAAGTGATTAGTAACAAGGCTGTGGGAGAGTGACTGATTTCTCCGTGTGAAATGACTGGAAAGAGATGGTGTTGGGTCCTGTTGCAGCCCCCCAAAGAAGGCAAGCCCAGGAGCAGCCATCCTGCCTAAGGGTGGCTGCTTGTCCCTTCCATCTGGGAGCACTTTCTCTGGTCTTCCTCCTTCCCTCCCCCCAGAAGGAATCTTGAATGGAAAATTCAAGGTCGATTTGTCAGAGCAGAAAGAACCACTTCCCCAGGAGACTGGCTGATCTGACATGTCTGCTTTAAGTAAATCCATATGCACCCTGATCCCTCGAAAGAGAGCCTTTCTCCTGAGGAGAGAACTTTAGAAGACTGGCCAAGCTCTCCCCCACTATGGAACCCCCCTACATTTAGGGTTTCAGACTTAAGTTGCAAGTGTTGGAAGTGTTTTCAGAAGGATTATTGATTTAAGAACAAAATGCAGCCATAAGAACTTGCCCCAAATCCAGGTCCTGGTTTCGCGCCCCCACCCCTGACATGATTTATTTTATTTTCATTCTTTGGTTTGATTAATTCATTTTCTAAATGTATATACTATAGGTATATGGCTTTTTGAAATCCAGATAGAGCCAGGCTCGGTGGCTCAGCCTGTAATCCCACGCCTTGGGAGGCTGAGGTGAGTGAATTGCCTGAGCCCATGGGTTCGAGACCCACCTGGGCAACTTGGTGAGACCTCATCTCTACAATAAATAAAAAAATTAGCCGGGTGTGGTAGCGCGTGCTTGTAGTTCCAGCTACTTGGAAGGCTGAGGTGGAAGGATCGCCGGAGCCCAGCGGGTCGAGGCTGCGGTGGCCGGAAGCGGCCCACTGCACTCCAGTCTGGGCGACAAAGTAAGACTCCAACTCAAAAAAAAAGAAAAGAAATCCAGACAGGTCATGCTACAGTGAAAAATAAGTCTGCTTCAGAAGTAACTACTGTTAACAAATTCTTACAAATGTTTATGTGTCATGTATGTTTTTGCATGTTTGTTTTTGTATGTGTGATTCTTGGCTCTTTTTACTTGGATAGTGTGACATGTTAGCACATATAAATTTACTTGATTCTTATTAACTGTTGCATGGTATTTTATCATATGGGTAAACAAAAAAATGTTTTGTAACCCTTACATATTGATGGATATTTGGGTCATTTCCAGTGTTTTGCTCTTACAGTGTCATGGTGAACAACATCCTCAGGGAAACTCTATAATTGTGTAGGTCTTGCATGTCTGTGGGACAAATTCCCAGCAGCGAACCTGTCAAGTTGAAGGGCAAGGTTTTTAATCTTGGTCTATGTAGTCCTAACATGAACTCTTGAAAAATTATGCCAGTTTACTCCGCCACTCACAGCTTATGACTCTTCATTCTGAAAGCCAATCCCAGGTTGCAGCACAGCCTCTGTTTTGAGCTGTGAGATGTGAGGTGATGCTGACCGTTTCAGATCTGGAGGGTTCTTTGTTAAAAGTTCTACAGGTTGCTTCATGCTCTGCAGTGACAGTTGCTAAGTAAATATAGATTGTGACTTTGAGTCTAGGTTGGCCATATATAGATTGGCCTGGCACGAAATTATTTCTGTAGGATCATCAGGGCTTCTTTTCGTCTGGGAACTTGATGGTGAGGGAGAAAAGCCCAGGCCTTGTTTCCACTCTAGTCCTTTTTGGAACAAGGTGGAGGGTAAATAACTAAACAGAGCCAAGTGTCACATTCTTCACGTCTGCATGATCTACTCTCTGCAGAATGCTGTGCAATGACTCATTGCATACCCTCCCACCCGGCTGGGCTTCCCAGGGAGGTGTGAGATCACCCAGTGCGGGAGTGGGGCCTGGGCCAACCTGACAGGGTGATTGGCACAGCTGGGATGCCCATCCTAGAGTCAGGAAGCGTGATGCTATCCCAGCTGGGATGACAGGAAGTCAAAGGTAGCTGTTGAAGACGTTATCCGGCCCTTGGCTGTGTCCTCCCCTGACCGCCCCTGCAAGTGCCACTTGGGGTGGAGAGTAGGGTGAGAATATTTCCGTTTATGTCCCCTAGGCAGAGAGAGGCCTCACTGTCCTCCTGCATTGCCTTGGCACTAGAGCTGTGTCCTAAAGAGCCAGTTGAAATACCTCTGCATGAGGGGCATGGAAGGCCTGGGGGGAGGGAGCAGCGGCTGCCCCTCCCCATTCTCAGTAGTCGGGACCCCCCACAGCTGCAGCCACTCAGCAACTTGGAATTGTTCTTAATTCTTCTCTCCCCCTTCCACACCCAGCAGCCTGCTTAATGCCACCTTCCTCCCCTCCCAGTTCTCCAGAGATCACCACTACAGCCTCCTCAGGAGGCTCCAGTCTCGTTCTTTCCCTGCCACTCAGCCAGCGGGATCTTTCTAGAACTTAGATCACGTCACACCCCTGCCTCGCATCTCTCCCTCTGATCTGGGGTGATGGCTGTGAGATCCAGCCCAGCTGTCCTCTCAGATGAAGTCCCCTGAGTGCTCTCTGCCCCCTATCCTAGCCTCACTGACCCCTGCTGTTTGTTCCTCTAAGCCCAACCCTTCTCAAAGTTGTTACCTCAGGACCCATGTGTTTGTTTACACTTGAAAAAGTATCCAAGGACTTAAAGACTTTAATTTATATGGATTATATCTATGAATACTTATGGCAGTCAAAACTAAAACTAAGAAGTGCTTTTAATATATGCTCATTGATTTAGTGAATAAATCTATCGCACACATACATAACTAACAGTGTTCTATGAACAATAAGTCTGTTTTCTAAAACCAAAAAAAAAAATGAATGGCTCACATTTTTGCAAATCTCTTTACTGTCTGCCTCAATAGAAGACAGCTGGTTTCTCCCCTCTGCTTTCAGTCTGCTGCGATAGCATACGTTGCATGGCTTCTGGAAAACTCCTGGGGGACTGATATAAAAGAAAAAATGCCTGACTGTATTTATGAAACCAGGGATTCCCAGATCACTCCTTAAGAGCCACTACTTCCTGTCTCAGGGCCTTTTGCAATGGCTGTTCCTCCATAGGTCTTGGTGGGACTGTTCCCACTCATTGCTGAAGCCCATCCAGTCTGTGTGCTACATCCTCAGAGATCTTTTCTGGCTAGGGCTGCCCCGCCCTCCATCCCATTAGTTTCACCATGACACTGAGTTTCCTCACCTGGCTGATGTATATGCGTACCTGGCCAGTCTTCCTTCCCTGAGGAAAGTCACCTGCACGGACCCCTCATTTGTCCTGTTCACCACTGTACCCCAGCACCTCACACCTGCCCTTGTTCAGAATTCAGTAAGTGAAGAATGCACCTACATGTATTCCCTGCACAGCACGGGAGCAGACCCCCTCAAAGGCCTTTTCCCTTCTCTGAGTACCAGAAAGACGAGGAGAGTCTTTGGGGCCCTAGACACTTGGGGATTTTGTCCATGGCACTTTGACGAAGGGACACGCAGGCACTGAGATCCCAGAAGGTCTTAAGCAGCCCTCTGCTCAATTCCTACTGCTGAGTGAGCGAGTTGTGTGCCAGGGTGGATGCACCCGGGGTGGATGCACCCGGGGTGGATGCACCCGGGGTGGATGCACCCGGGGTGGAGGACTTAGGTTGGTGGCACAGCTGAATATCACCACCCTCCGTTACTCAGAGCTCGCAGAAGCCAAAGATCAGACTGGAGGGGGTACCGGCAGTGGTGGGGAGTCAGTTGTCAGAGTACTGCCCAGGTTGGTTTTCGATGCTGTGGCCTCCATAGCTGCTGCCGAGGCCCATGGACGTGCCCTCTTCCCACCTTTTGCAGGGTGCCCTTGCCAGAGACCACCAGGTGGGATCCTCACTTCTGCCCGGGAATTGCTCACAGGGAGAAGACACCTCTGGCTCATGCCTCACAGTGGCCATGAGGCAGGTTTGTTTTATTAGAACACATCTTCTGATTTTATTTATAGGCCTGGGTGATCGTCACAGGGCAGTTGTCTCCTCCCAGGTGATCATCACAGGGCAGTTGTCTCCTCTTTAGAAACTATAAACACTTAGATTTGATGAAAATAGACCTTTCATTTCCTTGGAGGAGATGTTAAAGTGGGGTATAGATCAGGCTAATAGGTGATTAGCCATTTTGGCGTATTTTTCTTCTTCCATTTGGCTTAGGGGGAAAAAATCACCAATTCTATTTACTGGCTGGTTGTATGTTTATGGCTCTCACCCCCATGGAAAGTTCGGCTCCACGGGAAAGAGGCTTGTGTGTGTGCCTAGCCAGGGAGGGAGGGGTCCGCGGTGGCTGGCAAGGGGTAGGCAAGCACGAGCAGGTCTGGACTGTGGCCTCTGCTCTCTGCGGCTTTGTGGTGCTGTGCTCCTGTGGTTAGTGCCCTCAGAGACCCGTCCCACCCGCCCACGGCAACAGCCGTTTTCCAGAATCTGCTGTGGTGGGCAGGATGTCCAAAACTAGCTCACAAGGCCACTCTTTCCATAAACTGAGGGACTGGCAGAGCCCAGAGCAGAGGCTGTTCCCCAGAAGTGACCCTGGGGCATCGGGGTGCCATAGCCTCCATGGAAGGCCAGGTGACCTTCATGGGAAGGGCCAGGATCTAGACCCTGTGGCCCCAAGGCTGCTTATGGATGTCCCCATGACAGGTGCTGGGGCAAAGAAGGGCTGACAGAACACCCAGGCCAGAGGTGTTCCAGGGATTTGAGCAGAGCAGCCAAGCATCTTGACATTCA